TTTCAACCAGGTTCTACCATCCATCAATTAATAGATTACCAGCATGTAAGTAATTTTTATTTGCTAATTTTTTTATTTGCTTATTTATTAATTTATTACAATCTAATAGACTATTTTATAACAATTTGTGGGTCTTACCTTGTCTGTTTAAACTTTTAAAACTTTTTATACCTTTTTATTCATTTTACTCATTTTGAAAAAACCACAGACATGTAATATTGGCATAATTATTGTAATTTATAACATCTAATATGTTTAGCTTTATTAGACAACACCCTAATATGGATTTTTATCATTTCAGCATTTATTTAACTTTGTATCGATACCTGAAGATGCTTTGCATATTGTAGAAAGCGAAACCGGTCCTCTGATAGTTAAATTAAATTGATTGTAAGTCTTATTTATTATTTCTTTACCTATTTGAAATGGACTCACACAAGCAACACATTCATAAACTAAAGTTTTAGTTTTGAAAACGTTTAGATGTAAATCGAACATTTCGCTTTAGTGAACTACCGCATTTATTATATTTTGTAGTTCTTGTGCGTTGCTTGCTAATAAGACGGTATCGTCAGCATATCTTATGTTGTCTATGCTGATTACGTTAATATTAATTCCGCCTTGGACCTCGTCTAATGCTTCTCTGAATATGGACTCTAAATAAAAATAGTAGCCTAAATAGTAGTCTAAACAGTAGCGGTGATAAGACGCAACCCTGTCTCATTCCTCGTCGGATTTGTATATCTTCGGATGTTGTGTGCTCTATTTCAATTTTTGCCGTTTGGTGCCCGTATAGGCTATAAAAAATATATATTTTGATGGTTAACGCAGTCAAATGCTTTTCGATAGTCAATAAAACATGCATATACATCTATATTCATGTCTTATTAACACATTTAAAGCAAAAAGAGCCTCTCGTGTTCCCAATCCGTTTCGAAATCAGAATGGAGTGTCAATCATCTGGAACTCGCACTTCTTGTAAATTCGTTTATGGATAGTTCTGAGAAAAGTTTTAAGGACATGAGACATCAAGCTTAATATTCAATAATCATCACATTGTGAGGAATTCAATTTTTTTGGTGATGCTACGAATATTGATTTTAGCAAGTCTCTTGCTATTTTACCTGTGTCATATACCTTATTGAATAGTGCTGTTATTAAGCCTATGCTTTTACGTTCGTTCTATGCAATTAGTTTTAGTATTTCGACATTGATATTGTCTGGACCGGTGGCTTTTCCATATTTCTGAGATTTTACTGCGTAAATCACTTCTTCTTTGGTTTTTTCTGGGCTTTTTTCATTTATTCGATTATCTGTAAATGGTGGAGAACAAGGTCGATCGTCGTCAAAAATAGTTTGTATGTATTCTTTTTATTTCGCATTTCTTTTGCATTTCTTTTACTTGTTTATGAATATTAAAAGTGTCGTATTTTTCCTGCAGTTGTTCGATTTCTAAGAATTTGCTTAAAATCCAGTTTTTTTTCACCTCCCTGCATTTTTTTTAATGATTTTATTGATTCGCTTGTATTCTTTTGGGCTTGTTTTAGGTTTTCGTCTTACGTCCATGAGGTCCATGATCTCTTGCGTTATCCATTCTTGTTTTTTGTTGTGTTTTATGAACCTGATGTCTTCTTCTTGTATCTTTGTTATTTTTGTTTTTAGAGCAGTCCATGCAACTTCAAAGTCTGTATGTATTAAGTTTTCGATCGTTTTTATTTCTTCCTCAAGCTTGATAGTTATTTCTATTTTTCTTGTCACTGTTTTCGTTTTGACTTTGAGAAATCTTTTTAATCTAAAATCCATTATAACTTGATTGTGCTCGCTATGTATATCAGCTCCAGGGTATGTTTTCTTAGATTGTATTGTACTTCTTAAAGGCGTTATTGAGCAAAATGAAGTCAATTTGATTTCTAACGTACGTGGGTCTCTCCAGACGGAAGGACGGTGAATCAAATAGATCATGTTCTGATTGAAAGTAAATATATAAATATCGTTCAGAAGGTAAGAAGTATGAGAGGAGCTGAAATTGACTCGGACTATTACCTCGTTAAAGTCACATGTGGGAGGAGGCTGGAAGAAAAAGAGAAATCGAACAATAAAACGAAGAGAAAGTACAATATTGAGAAACTTAAGGAAGTAGAAATATAAAATAAATATGAAGAAGAAATAAATAAAATTCTACAACAATGTGACCAAAATTTACAGACAGCCAGGGAACAAATTAAAACTGCAGTAGAAGAAGCTAGCGAGAAAATAGTTAAGTGCGACTCCAAGAAAAGTACAAACAAAGATTGGTTTGACGAAGAGTGTCAGGCGATAGCACAGGAAAAGAAGAAGATCAGACAACAAATATTAAAAGATAATTGAGAGTGTAAAAAACAAGAATATAGAATTGTTCGAGGAAGATTGAAAGCTCTGTCTAGAAGGAAAAAGAGAAACCACAATGAGTTGAAATTAAAAGATATAGAAGAGAAGTTAAAAAACAAAGAGGTGAGGTCATTCTATCAAGAAGTTAAAAAGATGGGAAAAGGTTACCAAAGCCACTGTAGTTATATGAAAGGTAAAGACGAAAATTTAATTAGCGATCTGGCAGAAATATTGACGGAATGGAAAAAACATTTTGAAGAATTATTAAATGGTGAGGAGGACCACGAAGCAGTAGACAACTGGGCAGTTGGAGAATATGCGATAGTTGAAAGGCAGCCTACAGAGGAGGAGGTGGTGACAGCAATACAAGAAATGAAAAATAACAGAAGTTCTGGTAAAAATGACATATGCATAGAAATGATGAAGTTTAGTTGAGAAAAACTACAAAGAAAAATATATCAGCTACTAGCGCAAGTATGGGAAAAGGAAATAATGCCATCGGAGTGGTATGAGGCCCGCATATCCCTCTGCATAGAAAAGGAGGTGTGACAACTATAGAGGTATAGCCTTATTAGATACGGTATATAAAATCTTGGCAAGAATATTGAGAAATAAACTAAATTGCTACACGGAAAGAATCCTGCATGAATATCAGGCCGGCTTTAGAAAGGACAGATCTACTGTAAACCAAATCTTCCCATTGAAAGAGATACAAACGACTTGTTATGAAGGTAAAGTTCCCCTGCATGTTTTGTTTGTGGATTTTAGACAAGCATCTGATAGAGTCGATAGAGTCAAAATGTATCGAGCAATGGAACATTTGGGTATACCAAAGAAACTGATCTGGCTAGTTATAATGACACTTAATAACTCTACATGTGAAATTTCTTGGCAGGGTCACATATCAGATCAATTTACGGTGGCAAAAGGCTTGAGACAGGGAGATCCTTTATCCACTACATTAATCAACTTATCAGTATTAGAAACGGTAATCAGAAAATGCAGCATGAAGATGAAAGAAACGACCATGAAAAATGAGCAATAGTGCTTGGCATTGGCTGATGATCTAACTATACTAGCAAAAACCGAGAAAGAATTAAGAAGAGTTGTGAAGAAAATCATCGAAGTAGCACAGAAATTCGGATTGGAACTAAATGAAGACAAAACCAAATATATGATCATGGGAGGGACAGAAGGGAAAAAAGAAGACTTTAGTGAAGTAAAGTCAGTAAGTGGTAAAAGCTATAGTTTTAAAAGGGTGGACAAATTTGAATACCTGGGTGTAGTTTTCTATGAAAATGGAAAAAAAAATGGGAGCTCGAAGCCAGAATAACAAAAGGGAATAAAAAACTAGGTGGTTTAAGAGCCCTACTGAACTCAAAATACGTTTCTAGACAAGGTAAACTCAGAATATATAAAACAGTAATTTGACCCACAGTAACATATGCCGGTGAGACATGGACATTAAATAAGAAGGAAGAGGATACTCTGCAAAAATGGGAAAGGAAAATATTAAGACGCATATTCGGAGGACGGAAGACAGAAGATGGTTGGGAGAGAAGAACCAACAATGAATTAATGGCTTTATACAAAACACCTCCCATTACTAAGTTCGTCAAGGCACAAAGAATCAGATGGTTTAGACATGTGGAAAGAATGGCAGCAAACAGAATGCCTAAACTAGTAATAACCAGAAAATTATTCGGCCCCAAAAGAAGAGGTAGACCCAGAACGAGATGGATTAGTAAAGCAGAGGAAGACCTCAAACACGTGAAGGTGAGGGACTGGAAAATAAAAGCACAAAATAGAAGCGAATGGAGAAATATTGTACACCAGGTCCTTCGGAGTAGTTAAGAATCTTATATATACATATTTAAGTTAAAGTTTTGTTTAAAATAATTGTAATTAGTTAATATTAGGATTATGTTGTAAAAAAATGCCCTAGGCCTTAACGGTCTGTTGTGCGTAAAAATAAAAAAATAAATTATTGTTTCTTTTTTTTTTAATAAACATGTTTGGATAAAATTTGTTTTATTTGCTATCAGCTAAGAGTTCAGGTTCAATTCCTAGTTTAAAACAATCGAACTCACACTTGAGATATTGAGCTACGCAAGGCATAGACGATAAGCTCCCATGGTTGATTGAGGTATTATTTTTATAATAGTACTTCAATTCTCTTTGGTAGTCTTATCGTTATACATTGGCCAAATACGCTACAGACAAGATTGTATTGTGTTTTTTTTATGAGGTAATTCCCACTCACGGGCACGGTATAGTCACATTCACGGTACAGTCAAGATCACTGTCCATCCGGTCAAAACTGTGACTTGATTTTAACTGGACCTCACTGCCGGGGTGGTGTGAATATGATACAGTTAGTCAGCCACCTATTTTCAGTTGTTGTATCACATTTTTGTCACTTGCTTCGTCGATTTCGTTTAAATTTTTAATGGAGCACGAAAAATTAATTGAGTGCGATTGTAAAATAATGACAACCCTACGATTTATCTCATCTGTTTTACTCTGATTCTCGGCGAAAATTAAAAACAGCAAGTAATTACAAGAAAAACAGCGAGAAAATACTAAAATATCGTTATTTTTACCCTATACTATAATTGTTAACTTTATTACAGGTTTAACTAAGATGGCAACTATTGTAAACTCCACCGTAATTCCTGAAAAATCCACCAGTTTTTATCATTATCTATTTACAGAAATTGCAGGTAAGCAAAACATGTAAATTTGAAAAAAATTTTGATACGATATCTAAATTAATGTGAATATATTCTATGTGTTCTTAAAAAAATACCAAAAAAAAATAAACCATAAAAATGTATTTTACTATGTGTATTTGGTATACACTATTTGAATTACGTTGCATAATATTGTTAACTAGGTTTGTAACTAAATGAAACTACCCCATATTTTTCTTGATTTAAAATCATTTAAATCTACTACTATAAATCATTATGATCCTATGATCCTTTTAAATAATCCTTTATACCGCTTATGTGGCTTTGGGATTGGGCCTACGGTATACAAAGAATGTAACAGTTTCATTGATATCCTTCAACCGCCTATTATTACCTCTGGTTTTTACCAAGGTACTCAATTTATTCAGACAGAATCCACCTAGAACCTGTGGATATTTAAAAATGTCTAGATTTTATTACCATCGCTGGGATTCCATTCCAGGCTATCTGCGTGAAAGTCTTTTAATTAAAACATACAACTAAAGTTTTAAAATTATACCGTCCGATAAAGGTTAACCCAGAATAAGCCATTGTAATGACCTTGACCCAAAATTTTAAAATAGGTTAACTGAGTATGCCTCTAGGTATAATCATATTTTAATCATACTAATTTACCTATATATTACAGTTTTTTCATTATTTGATGCTAACAATTAATGCTGTGTATATAATTTTCAATCAATATTTTTCAGTGTCCGAGTGTCTGCAGTATTGGCATTTATCTGTGTTAGCCTTTCCCAACCTAGAGAGGTAGGCCTTAAAACACCCGTGTCCTGTCGCCACAGTGCACCCCATCTCTTATGTTCGGGATCAGCATCTGTCCGCTGTGGCACATCCTTCGTGTTGTTCCATTTTGTTGTCATTTTTCAATTGCCCTCTCCCTTTCTACGGCCAAAAAATGCAACGGAATACATCCAGTGATGGTTCACAAGACTACCGCAGACACACTCCTGTAGGTGCATGCCACTCGCAACAGCCTTGTTCTGTTCACTCGTGTCGTGAGCCTCCACTTCAGACTGGTGCCGCATAGAGGTCCATCGACTGCACAAAACTGTGTAAGGCCCTCATCCTTTTGGATTTGGGTCCCCCAATGTTAGGCATCACCCTCCCCAACTCAGCTACACTATTCGCAGCCTTTCGGGCCACTTCCTGCACGTGCTCCCCCGCTTTTCCATTCTGGTGCAACGTTACTCCTAGGTACTTAACGTGTTTCTTGAGTGTTAGACATGCTCCCGTACATTTTTACGTTTTAAATGCAATTGTAGTTCCACATTTTTCCTGTTTCTTTTCCCCTTCAGAATTTTCTCATCTAGAAGTGTGGTATATAGCTGATATTGTAAATTGGCAAAACAAGAATTACTTTTACAGATTATAACAGTATTATATAAGTTTATTTCATTTGAAAACAATTTCATTAGCCGTTTTTGAAAACAATTTGAGAACAACAACACGTACTTGAATCATCAAAAACAACAAAAAAATGTAATTTTCATTACAACCATTGTGGTTAATTCATAAAAATTAAAAATATTCAATATTATCTTGCTGCTAATCTGAACAACTCTCTTTTATATTTTTTGCACTTGACGATAAGCCATCGATTGCCCGTTTTTCTTCAATACAATGTAAGATGCATGCTTGATTGACCTTGGAAGATGGTACATCAATTTGCCACTTCATGTGGTCATTGCTCCAAGCTTTGCCAATTGTTTCATTGATGTCACACCATGTTTATTCTAAGGAGTAAATCTTTTACTGACTACTTAGTTATTTTTTTAAATATTCATTGCGCCATATTATTACACGATCACTCTTTTTTTATTTTTTGTCTTTGATTATTAATTTTATATTTAACATCATTTGATGTAAAAATTATTTTAACAATAATGATTACTAATATTAATAATTAGTTTAATATTGGATATCAATTTAGACAAAATCATATTATAAGTAGTTTTCACCCATTAGAACTTAGAAAATATTGTTCAATCGATACATTTTAAGTCTGAATCTTTACTTATGTTGGTTACTTATGTTAAACTCCAGTATCTGGACAATGTCCGGAATTTTTCCTAAATTCGCGCTGTACCCAATACCCACATCACGGAGTGAGTGATATATTTAGACATTGGCCGGAACGGCAGTTGTTTTGAGTAGTATGGACCCCTGAAGCAAGAACCTATAGATTCCTTGCAGTTGAGTTATTTAAACTTGATTAGTTATTAACAAATTAAGCTCAAAACATTATAAATTTTGATATCAGGTTGAATGCTCGAATAAATGAGCTTTGATAAAATGAAAGGCAGATATCGAGCATAGCTTTATTAATTCAATATTGTCCAAGTACTTTAGCTTTCTAAAACATCTTCAGGAGCATCTGAAATAAGCCAAGAAACGTTTTCTTAAATCAAGAAATTAATTAAATTCGATAAAAAGCTCTAAGCTAATGGATGTTTTTTTGTGATTACCGTTTTATACTTATTTCGTCAATTTTGGGCTATCCAACAATCGCAGAATGTCATAAACATAGAATTGTACATAACACTACACTAAATAAGGACAAACAGTTTAAAATTATTTAAAAAATATGCGAAGTTACATTCTGGTGGGCAACAGGAGAGAGAATGGCTCCCTCTCCCGGTATTAACGGAGATATTAAGGTGACACGTGACATATGACAGCTAGGATGGGCAGTCACAATCATGGAGATGTGATCTGCACTTTTCAAAATTCTATGTAACTAAGCATTGACCAAAGGTCCAACTAACACTACTATAGGAAATCAAATGATGAAATATGACAAATAGAATATTTTAACTAGATTGCACAATCCAGATCCCACACTTAAACCTATCTATAATAATAAGGGTGTTAGTTTGAGAGCAACTGAAGTGGACGTAAAGTATGAATGCAAGAAATAGACTAAAAATTCTATTAGACAGTGGGTGGTTGACTACAATAAAAGGGTCTACCAGGCACTATCAATACTGTAAAAAAGAAGAAATCTGACTATGAAATTTATATACTAAAAATTAAAGAACCAAAATTGAAAGCAGTGTATAAATTGAGTATAATCCAAGTAGTTCAGTTAAAGCCCCAGTCAATGGGAGCACTATAAAATTAATATGTAAAAGCGTTACTTAATACCAACTGACCAACAGTGGGAGATGTTGAATATTTCAATAACTTAATACTGTTATTTTTAAGCAATTATTCAAATTCTAATTAATAGGACTTAATCTAAACTTACACATAACCATGTATTTCAAACCAATATTTATCTTTTTAAAACTTGTTCTTATTGCAAAAAACAAAGATTTTTTTTCAAAATAAAGAAACCGAAAAAATAATTAGATAACACAGCTCGGTATTTTATAAATTATTTGCTTTAGTTGCAAATTGAACAAAAATAAATACTAACTTTTGGACTTGCACAGGAGAAGGTATATTGCTATTGTGGAGCTAGGAATAGGTACCTGAGAAGAGCACAGTTGCAGTGATGGTGTATTACAGGGTGTTGTGTTAACTGGCAACCCTATAATTTAAAATAAAAACGTGATTAGTACGCTGCTTTAGTCTATTGCTATCATGGGCACACAGTAATATAGTCATATAATTAGTATAAATCACATATTTATAGACTACACAGCAGTTTACGATTTTTGAATACAAGAGAAATATTCAAAGCAATGAAAGAGCTAGGAATACCAAATCAGTTGGTAAATTTAACAAGGAGGGAGACCCTTCCGTATACTGTTCAATCTGGCTCTGGAAAAATAATACGTATTTCATAAATCACAACCATTGGTTCAATATATAATCAATCAGTGCAAATCGTTACCTAAGCTGATGATATCAATATTGTTTGGAGAACGAAAAACGCTGTATGAGAGGCGTATGTAGCATTAAAAGAAATATTCTACAAAAATGAGTTTAATAATAAACACCAACAAAACGAAGTATATGAAAATAAGTACGCAACCACAAATCCTACCACCACTTATTATATATAAAACGAGGTTATCAAAGCAGTCAACGAATTTGTATACCTAAGAGCGCTTCTTAACACTGAAAATAATATTACCGCAGAGATAAATCGGGACATTTACATTGCCAATAGGCTTCATCTTCTCCTTAAATTCACAATAATATCAACAAAAATAAAACTCTACAAAACAATAATACACCCAGTCCTAACGTATGGGCCAGAGACAAACAAAACGTAATGAAAATATGGTGGGATGTTTCGAAAGAAAGGAACTATCTATGGAGCAGTGAATGACAATGGAGTATGGAGAAGACGGTACAACTTCGAACTTTATAGAATATACCAGGAACCACATATTGTAGAACATATTAAGATAGGACATATGAGGTGGATACTTAGGACATGTAATGCGGATAGAATGGAGCTAGAAAATCGCCCCTTGATAGATCCATTAGACAGAGAAGAAGACGAAGACCTAGAACAAGGTTCCATGATAACATTGATGAACACATGAGAAATATGGAAGTAAGAAAGGCGATGGATAGGGACGACTGGAGAGAAATTCTTGAGGAGGTTAGGATCCACTCAAAGTTTTTAAGCCAGAATCATGCATATAATTAATAATTATAATATAGTAATATTAACTAAATATTAAAAAAAATGAAAAAGAGATGACAGCTGTAGAAGAACAGAATGGCTTTCATGCAGGCAGATCCTGTATGGACAGTATATTTTCTCGAGTTATCGAGAGTTATCGAGAAAATATTAGCCAACAAACTTTCAACTCATATAGTCTTTATGGATCTGACAAAGGCATACGATAGTGTACCACTTTCAATGCTTTGGGTAGCAATGGAAAAACATTGAATAAGCAAAAAAAATACAAGCAGTACAACAGCTCTACAAAAATATGACGGCAAACATTAAAACTGGAAATAGATTAACTAGAAAAATTCCTATTAGTAAGGGTCTAAAGCAAGGC